TGTTCCTGATGCTTATTAGCTCTTCGATTCTGGGCATCCAGGAACAACAACTCACTGCTGGCTTCTGGATCACTCTCCCTTGTCTCCTCCCCACTGGTCCAAGACTCAGGCGCCACCTGGTTTCCAACCAGTCTCTCTGCGCTCTGCTCGGAGTCGGAACCCTATCCAGGGTCCTCCACATCCTCCAGAGCCGATTCATAGGGCCCCTCGCTGTCGGAGTCTGGTGGCAGCTCCAATGGCACCTGCTGGGCCACAACAGTAATGTATCAAGTCATTGCCAACCCTTAGTGACTACAGATTTTCCCTGTGACAATTTGCCCCTAGTCTGGTCTTTCAGTTTTCCAGTGGTGCACCTGTCAGCTGTCCCAACTTGGTCAGTTAGAAAAAAAAGACCCTCAGGCCAGAGGTGGGTTGCAACCGATTCACACCAGTTCAGGCGAACTGGTAGTGGAAATTGCAACTGTGTCGCTGAACTGGTAGGGACTGCAGGCTTGCCACATGCCCGAGCTGATTCCCTGGTCACCGTGGCGTGGGGTTTTTTTGGTCATTTTTTATATTCTGCGCATGCACAGACCTATTTACAGGCAACTGCGCATGGGTGCGGATCATGCCACAGGTGCGTGAGAGAGCAAAATGAGTGCACATGGACAAATTGCGTGTGCATCAAACCTGCAGTAATGCCGGCAGAAACCCACCCCTTTACAAGTGGTTACAAAAGAAGCAAAGCTGGATCTGAGGTTTTCACGCCCAAAATTAACTTTTCCCTGTTCCCTTCCATCCCCCTGGTTGTCAAGAAGTGTTCAATTAGGTGTTAACATATTGTTTTGGGAAACAGCCCCTATGTATTGCAGCTGGCTGCATTCCTTTGCTGACCTTGGCACTGCCAGTGATTCTCACGGAATGGGTGGGAGGCTTGGTTTCATTTCCTCATGGTATCCCTCCTGCCTGTCCCACCCCACAGCTCCCTCATCCCGTTTCTATGGCTCGCTGCCAGCAGCAATGCGGTACACCGCATAACTGAATAGCAATAGTACTTAGACTTATATACCGCTTTACAATGCTTTACAGTCCTCTCTAAGCAGTTTACAGAGTCAGCCTATTGCCCCCAACAATCTGGGTCCTCGTTTTAACGACCTTGGAAGAATGGAAGGCTGAGCCTGGTGAGATTCGATCTGCCAAACTGCTGACAGCCGGCAGTCAGCAGAAGTAGCTTGCAGTACTGCACTCCAACCACTGCGCCACCATAGCTCATGAATGGCAGCCCTGACAGCACTCATTACCATCCCCTATCCATCTCCCTTCCAATGGGAAAACTAAGCTGTCCTTAAATTGGTGGCATTCGACATGTGGGACTACTATTCCTAGCCTCCACAAATAGTATGGCTTTGGTGGCTGAGGATGACAATCTTTTTACATGTGAAGAGAGCAGCCTGGAGAATGTGGTCAGTCCATGTATTCAAATTGTATTGAATATCGCTATATTGTATTGCTAACTAGGACATACAAAACCTTTGCCAGACCAATTCTTGAATACACCTCGTCTGCCTGGAACCCACACTGTACATATATCAGACATTAACACGATTGATCGGGTCCAGAGGTATTTCACAAGAAGAGTCCTCCACTCCTCTACTCAGAATCCCTTAGTAGAATCTCTTATGCCACCAGGCTTGAAATTCTGGCCTTGAACAATCTGGAACTTTGCTGCCTGCAGTCAGACCTAAGCATAGTACACAAAATTGTCTGCTACAATGTCTTGCCTGTCAACAACTTCTTCAGCTTCATCCACAATAATACACGGGCAAACAATCGATACAAACTCAAGGCGAGCCACTTCAAACCTGATTGCAGAAAATACGACTTCAGCAACAGAGTGGTCAATGCCTAGAACGCTTTACTCCAGAGTTACAGCCTCAAACCCTCTCAGCTTCAATCACAAACTGTCTACCATCACATTCCTCAGTGGTGGGTTTCAAAAATTGTTCGAACCTACTCTGTGGGTGTGGCCTCCTTTGTGGGAGTGGCTTGCCACCCATGTGACCAGATGGGAGTGNCCATCGCCTTGACTATACACACTTTTGTTGGCAGGATGATGTCTCTGCTTTTTAGTATAGTATGCTTCTAAATTTGCCATAGCTTTCCTCCCCAGGAGCATATTAATATATATAAGCAATTCTGAGGTTGGACTAGAAGACCTCCAAGATCCCTTTCAGCTCAGTTATTGGTGTAAGCAACTCTGTTCTTCTTAAACATATTCAGA